AGGGGATCGATTCAAGACTGCCGCCCTTACTGGTCAACACCTGTGGATACAGACCATTCCTTGTTATCAACCATATTCTCCCTCTGCCTGGCAAACAACCGCAAGCCATTGACAACGACTACCTGCGATGAAGCGTCAGCGATTGCTGTAAATCGGCCTTCGAATGAGCGCTCTCCGATCGCCTGTCAGTTCGACCACCAGTCGAAGGATTCAATGAACATTGAAAGCAAATCAAGAAAGCTTTGCAAATATCGACAAGAACAACGTCCGTCCCTGGCGCAGGTTCAAAACACAAACGATGGATCTCGTCGTACGTCGGCTGCCCTGCTGGACGCCCGCAGAACCGATGGCACACTGATTCACGAACAGCAACGCCGTCTTGATCGATGGGCTGAACACTTCAAGGCTCAGTTCAACTGGCCCCCATCGACATCTGCTCTTTCACTTTCCACCTTGATTGGGCAAATACTCCCAGTTGATGCTAGTCCACCATCTGAAATGGCGGTTTCTCGGGAAATAAGTTATCTCAAAAGGCAAAAGGCCTCTGACCCAGATGGGCTGTTCCCATCGGTTTTAAGAATGGAGGCTCAGCGTTAGTCTTGGAGTTGACGAAAGTCCTGGGCTCAGTACGGGAAAGGGAAGAGGTTCCAGCTGAATGGTGTGAATCGGTGATCATACCGATTTACAAGAAAGGCGACAGATCCTTCTGTGAAAACCACAGAGGAATTAGTTTGATCAACATCATCTCTAAACTTCTTGCCGGTATCATACTCCGTCGATTGTCTGCCGCACGTGAACGATGCACGCGTGAGAACCATGTTGGTTTTAGACCCGATCGAGGTAGTATCGATCACATCTTCACTTTCCGCCAATTTCTGGAGCATCGACATTCTTTTCGTAGACACACCATCTCTGTCTTCTTGGATCTGAAAGCGGCTTTAGACTCAGTCGACCGCTCGAAACTCTGGCGCTGCCTTTACCTGAAGGGTGTGCCCGAGAAGTTAATTTCAATATTACGATCGCTTTATACTAACAGCCGAAGTCGAGCCCGGCCTTACGGCACTTTTTCACCCGAGTTCACCACGAAAAGTGGTGTTCGACAGAGTTGCCCTCTCTCTCCGTTTCTATTTAACTTCGTGATAGATTTGATTACGGAAGCAGCCCTATCCTCGTGCGAGGATAGTGGCATTGATTTACTTCCAGGTGGTAGACTGTCTGATCTACAGTATGCAGACGACATTGTGCTGCTAAGTGAAGATACAGGTAAGTTGCAAGCTTTTCTGGGTAGTTTGTGTGCCAGTGTAGTGTTTGTCTGTTCGTTGTCACCCTAAGTTTTCTCGTCACAAAAGTACAATCATCACTATTGTGTATATATCTCCCTCGTGTACTCGGACCGACATTTCTGCTTTCTTTGATTTCTTTATTTCGTTTCTAGTTTCATTATTAGATGAAAATCTTTACTTACTTGTTGGTGATTTCAATCATGCAAGCATTTCTCGCCTGCTTCCGTTTGGTCTGTCTGACCTTTCTCATTCTCCTACCAGAGGTAGTTCTGTGCTTGAAAGAGTGATCTTAAACCATCCCAACAGATTCTCTCTCAAACTAATGGCCCCGGTTTCTACCGGTGAACATTGAATTCTTCTTGTTAGACCAAAGGTATACTCACGTATTGCTTATCAAGCATTCACACGTTCTACTCAGATAAAACTTCATCTTTATTTCTTTTTTATTTTTATTACACAGCTAGGTGTGATTAACAGCAGACGGGGTAAACCCTATAGTCACGAGGACCTGCTGTTCAGTGGTTGAAATGGTCAATCTAAGCCCCGGAACTTGGAGTGGTGAACCAGATAAGGCCGCGATAGGTTAGGCGTGGTATTGAACCGGACGACAGCAGAGCTGCCTACCACCAAAGTCGGGTGGCGGTGGCGGGCTCGAACCTCGGACCATAGGGTCCAAAGCACGCCTGTGACAGCGACTAAACAACTGCGCCTCCACCCCATCTAAGGGACTTTTCACCCAACCGTATCTCTCTTCTCAGCCGTTCTATTGTGATTGTTCCGATCCCCAAATCCACGTCCTCAACTTTTCTTGTTAAACGATTTCATCCTATCGCGTTGACCTCAGCGGCTCTAAAGGTAACTGAAAAAATCATCCTGAGTCGGTTACAGTCAGACACCACAATTCCTCACGACCCCCTTCAGTTTGCGTACAAACCAAACAGATCTACATTGGATGCCATATCTGCTCTAGTGCATTTTATCATCAAGTCATTGAACCATCCGGTCAAGTCTGTCCGTTGTTTTTTTATTATTCGTCCACGTTTGATTGTTTCCCGATCATCCATTCTTTTCAAACATGAATCTTTTGGCACTCCAAAACAGCTGCTCTCATGGCTTGCTGACTGTTTCACACAGAGGGTCCAGTGCACCAAATTAGGGAGGAGAACATCGAAACCTCTTGTTAATAATTCTGGTGTTCTCCAAGGTGCTGTTCTATCTCCATATCTTTTTTCTGCCTTTATTAGTGATCTTTCGGTTCCACCCCCTGCGCACATCCAAAAGTATGCTGATGACGTTGTTTTGTGTCAGACAGTTTCATCTCCTTCGGAATTTCTTTCTTTTACTGAAAACCTATCCCACATTCAACAGTTTACTGACCAACCTGGTCTCAGTCTTAACATATCTAAGTGCGTAGAGTACATTTTCAGTCGTTCCCGCTCCTCATTTACAACAGACTCTGTACCTTTAACGGTAAACCTGTATCCAGAATGACCTCGTCAAGCACCTGGGTGTCGCCATCGACAGCAATCTTCGTTGGTCTACACATATCTACAACTGTATGGGAAAACTGAGACGCCTATCTTTTCAGTTACGCAAACTCAGGCAGTTCCGAACCCCACAGTCAGTCCTGTCATCTTTTGTTTATCAATGCGTTTTACACATTCTACTTTATTGCTCCCCTGTAGTGTTTCCCGGTCTTTTAAAACAAAACTTCAAAGCAATTCGCAGTGGTTTGTTGATAATCAGTCGTGTATCATTAATCCCAATCGATTTATTAGTCACAGAACTCATTAATGGTCACATCAACTTTTGTTTTAAATTTGCTCAAAAGATTCTAAATGATCCTCTTCATCCACTACACTCTGATCTATCGTCTTATCATTCCCATCCGTCCACACGCTCCTCATTTCGACGGATTAACATTTATAAAAATTCCCCTGTACCCTACTTGGCCAGACTACTTACCAAAAAGGAACAGGAGTCAAATGAACTACGTCAGAAGTTTTGTATATGAAGTAAATATCACCGGCATTCTTTATTCTTTACCTTTCGCTTTTATCATTATTACTTCATTCTGCGTGACGAAAAGTCTACACTTTCAACTGAAATGTAAGCATATATGCTTACACAAGTTATACAAATACAAAATACAAATGTTCGGTATGCGTTTTGCACCTTCAAATTATAAAATGTTGCTCCAAGACTGGACCGGTCGAGCCCCCAACCTCACTCTAACTGGGGAGTTAATCCAGCAAATGAATAAGTTTTGTTATTCGGTCAGCTACCTCTCACTCGGCGGACACAATGCGGATGAAGTGTCAGCTCGCATACAGAAAGCTTGAGTACCATTTGCTAACTTGAGACATCTGTGGCGCCGTCGCGACATCCGGTTGTCTGTGAAGGGTCGAGTGAATGCCGCGACAGTTCGGCCAATTCTGCTATACGGCGCAGATACTTGGCAATTAAGAAAATAGGATAAAGATAGACTATCGGTGTTTGAACACCGCTGTCTACGCAGCATTGCACGAATCTGGTGGGGCAGACTGAATGCATATGAAAGTCGAAGAGTTCATCGTTGCTTGCGTTGTGGGATGTTGTACTACTTGGTCGCCCGGTGCGGAGTTTTGGGTAACCGCGGCCGCCCACTGAAGCAAATGGTCGACCTCCATAGTTTACGTCGGTTGGGGCATGTTTTACGCATGTCACCATAGCGAGTGGTGTTCGCCGAGGCGGGTAGTGGGTGGGATAAAGCCAAGAGTGGTCAAGCTAAGACCTGGCATGAGGGTATGAAAACCCTAACCAGGAGACTGGCTCACATAGGTCCCGTTAGGCTCCCCGGCTGGGGACCTCGGGATGGTTGCATCCGATGTTTGGAGACACTGAGTGAATCGGTTGAGTGTCGTAAACAGTGGCGTTCGTGTATCTCCGCAAATTTCTCGCAACATCAAACCACTGAAATTCTCCATTTTCTGTTCGACTCTACTTTCAACCCTCCTGTGTTCTCCTATTCTTCATCCAAATGGGCAGCCAAAAGACAGCAACCAAAGCCGCCGCAGGAAGGTGCATGGTTAATGGTTGTACAAGCTGAACTGAACTGAACTGAATAATAAAGGACCCCTTGGTAAAGCGTGTTTCAACCAACTGGTGATGAGTTGAAATTAACTTATTTATCTTTAACACACGCCATCTGACCTCGGCCTCAAACGGTACGCTACCACAATACGTGAGTAATCAGGCGCAGGAAAGGGCTGTCAAAAACAGGCAGTCGTCAAACATCATTTCATCAAAGAATGCCGGTTGTGCCATACAACGTGAACCGCTGTGTTGCGCGCTCCTTCCAGTGAAACGGATATGTCGCACCAGCGCGGGAGGTTTTTGGATGATGAACAGTAGACGGGGCGGACATCATAGTCATAAAAACCTGCTGCTCAGTGATTTTGCAAATTTGATGACCCATGAATTGGGTCAGCTTATCAGCGAAACCCTAACAGCTGTGACGCGACAATTCAAAGTTGGGCAACGTTTTCAATCAGTTCCAGCGTAATTGGCCAAATGTAAAACAATATCAACGTAAATCTAATAAAGTTGGCCGTGATATCATATTGTTCATAAATACCTCTGAGTTACACAGGTCCATATGGTTTCGTTGACTCAATTAAATAGAATCAAAAATGAACAGAGAAGGACAATCCGGTAGAAGTGGTTAAACAATGCTATTCAATAGAAACTATTTCTATAAGGAAGAAGATAATGCAGGGTCAAAATGTACTATACAAAAATTTCAGAGAAACTAGCTTCGCTGTTTTTTTTCACGTTGCGATAGTGATATAAAAAGATACCACGAAGGAAAATAAAATGAAGGACATAGTAAGCACGACAGACCTTCGACTAGCTTCTGCCTCGAGTAACCAGCTGAGATGACGGGCTGAATGTCCTTGAATCCGACTAGCCAAACACTGCAGAATGGATTGAAGTATTAAATATCCGTGTTCGCTGTGGCAACCCATTTCCTGTGGAAATTAGAGAAAGAAACAAATGATAAGAAAAACAGACAGTGAGGAGTTCGAACAGGGAAAAATAGTTTTCCAAAAAGCATATGATTCGACGAGCTGGACACCGACCTCTGGGGGGTTTCGGTTTCCACATGCCGCCGCATCGCCACGCAGGTCAAACTATGACTGACCGAAGGGTCCCGTTGCGAGTACTCCAAGGAAATGCGCCTGTAATGGCTTGCGCCATCTTAGCATTATTCTGCCCACGATCAACTCATTAACTAATTTCTTTGTCATAAGGGTTCTTGAACCGTGATTTGTTTGGCACAGTCTGAACTCAAACAAATGCGAAACATGTATAAAACCCATAATCACAAGGACTCGCTCTGGGGCTGGGAGTGGTGATAAACATAAGGCCTCTAAAGAACAGAGGTGACATTGAGCCGGACGACAGTAAAGCTGCCCAGTGGTAAATTTAGGTGATGATGACAGGGCTCGAATTCGAAACCTTATGCAAATAACATTTAATTAAAATATTTCACGTCTAGACATAGAAGACAACACTGTTACACGGCATGGTAGATGTGGTTAAAACAAGGTTCACAAGGAACAGAATATTTGACGTTATAGGATTGTCAAATAAATATGAATTATGAATTAATTATTACTAAAATACTAAATGACAAACAGCTGTGTCACGCAGACACGCAGATGAGGAAAAGTAGTAGTAATAGTGAACTTACAAGAAAATGAGGTAGCATACCACTGGGGCCATTGGATATGCCATCAGTCAGCTCATTTATTGCAGTCCCAGTGTCCTGCGGATCGTCAACAGTAGACGAAGAAGAGGAAACAAATTCACTGATTTCACTTAACAACGTCGCATTTTCAATGGTGCGCACTCCGGATTCCGAACTGTTCGGTTTTCGAGGTTGTAAAAATGCCACCGAATGAGTGAGGAGACCGTCTTTCACTGTCTCTCCAGCCGCCAGAAGCGGATTCAACACATGAGCAACACACTTTAAAAATATTTCCAGTGTATTCCAAGCCAGAGGGACAGAGATTAATTCACCTATTAGACTATCTTTTACAGCGATGCAAGGCATAGCTAAGGATAAGAAAGGACAATCTTCATTTCGAGGATGTTGAGCAAGTTCGTAAATAGTTCGACGCCAGGTGGGTGACTCTACCATCCGACTTAACCAGTCCATAGTATCCTAATACAGAATGATAAAAGTATAAACTCAGTTTAACGGCTCACAGCTAAAGCATCGTCTGTCAAACAAGTGATTGCTTTAGAGCGATCATAGTTCTGAAGAATTGCTTCTTTAACGACCGATTCTATGATGTTTCTCGTTGACTGGGGATTCTCATCTGACCAAAATATAACCATTGAAATGTGTCAAACCTATGTAGGTAAGCCATGTGCCAAGCTCAAACAAAAACTCAATAGCTCCTTGATAATTTTCCACCAAAATCCTTTCAGCTTCTTGTGCTCCATAGGGCTCTTCTGCACGTACACTAAAACAATCAATTAGAAAAAGCAAAACTCACTGATCAATAGCATCTGCTAGGACAGAAGGCAATTCTAGTATCGCATCCTTTTTACTTAATATAGTCTTGTAACACTCCGACATAGATTTCGCTGCAAAAGTCAGAGCGACGATTGTTTCATTAAAACGGAAATTAGAAAGACGGTAGTTGCAACATTCATGGCCAATCTCATAATGTTATGACAGTTGCATGGCTAACACGTTTGACATTATTGGTCAATGAATCTAAACTAAAAGCACTGAGAAGTAACGATCACGCGTGTTTTTACCTTTATAAAGTGCACTGGTTGTATCTTGAAAAGTTGTTAGAAGGTTAATGTAGGTAACCAGTCTACATGGCCTAAAGGGATTAGATAAAAACCATGGAAATGATCGGTGTAGAACGTGTTAACCTGTCAGAATCAGATTCAAGATTCACAACTCGGTTATGCGTTTTATCGAAGTACTCCATTTCCGAAAGACCTACACGCTTATATTACCAAGGTGTACTTATGAAATTTGAAAGACAAGAACAGGCCCAGTGATACAACTCCATGTTAGTGGGAGGAAACCTGGATTTGCATGTCTTGCTGATTTGGGATTTTTAGATTGTCAATTAAATATGAAGTTTCCGTGTCAACCAATCAAGGGGAAACTAAGGCGGCGTTTTGCAATTTATCAGACTCAACATAGTTGGTCCAATAGGAGCTGCAATTTTGCACTGAGCCACGCCAATGTTAGCTTACTGCTACGTGATCGAATTGAGTTACCATACCGGTTGAATTGAAGCGCCACATTACCGTCCATCGAGAGCTGTGTAGGAGGTTGGTACTGGATAGGAACAGATGATGATCTGAGCAGAACTGAAGAATTCAATCGCCGTTATCTGGTTGTTGGCAGGACAGAAGAAAACTACCGCCTAGGCAAGGTTCTGATGCGCCCAGTTTTCCAACCTGCACGTTGGAATCACCTGCAAGTACAACTATGCCGCAGATTTGAACGAGATCGGTAAGATTAAAGTAGAAATCGTTCTTTTGTTTATTAGAACTGCAGTTGATAGATGCAAATGGTGATATGATGAACAAACATCTTCTGGTATTGCTTCCCTTCCAGTTGCTGACTACGCATAAACCACTGTCGATGGGAATCCAATCGATAGAATAAGACTCGGTTCTGTTCTGGGCACAACACCAGCCCTGCACTGACCAACTGAACAGACTTCGTCGTCACCTGATGTGCGAAGAACGTACATCGAGGAGAAATCTAGCGCGCTCAGGTGTCTTATAGTGGTAGTATCTTGAATTCGAGTCTCCCATACGCAGCAAATATCAATCCCTGAGGATCCCATTGTATGCACCAGAACAGCTTATTGACTTACCTGAATGAGTTTTTAAGTTGAACGCCTCCAAATTCAGTGATTCACGAGGCTTCAGAATTTGCAATCCATTTGTGGTCAAATACTTACAGTGCTATTCGGCAACGACCTTTAGCGAGCGACATCCAAGTAGCTTGAAGGACTATTACAGGTCGGAAGGAAGGGGGGAAGAGAGAGGTCTGGGTACGGAAGACAATGAATTGAACAAAGGTTGCGATACATACACTAAAAGTTTCAAGAGTTCTGGCTAAGGCAGCTTGTTGACCGACCCGATAGTGTACCGAAATGGAACGCAGCTAAATCAAAAGAGAATTTCCGCTTCAAAAATTCAACAACTTCGGATTGTTTCGCCTTACTGGTAAAACACTGAATGATATCCGGTGGAGAGAGCAGAGCTGTATGCTACCGGGCGCGTCCCCAGGTCGCGGATAGGGGAACGGCTGTCATCTCACGGCTAACCGTAAATAAGGTGGGCCTCGGCCCTCCGAATAAGCGGTCGCGGACGATCAGTGGCAGCGCTAGAGGATGTGATGGGTTTACCCCTGGCAAGGGTTCTCCGCACAAAACACCACATATATCTGTGGGCAGCGCTGTGACGTGGCGAGTGTGGCCCGCCACTAAATATGGTCATTGCTCCTTGTCGAGATCCATTGCTCGACAAGGTTTTCCAGAAGAGGCGAATGAACCAACTACTGGCCACTGGCTCATCTGGAATATCGCTGCTACCTTGCAGTCCGCGCTTGGATGCACAAAGGCTAGAGTGTATCCTCGAACAAGGCCTACTCTGGACCGGGTGACCGAGTAGTACAACAGCCCACAACGCCAGCAATGATGAACTCTTTGACTTTCATGTGCATTCAGTCTGCCATTTCCACACCTGCAGATAAACACTCTACACCGTTCACACACTCATGTCCCCCCAACTCTACCCAATCCTACCTTCACCCTCTTAACTCACCTCCTTTCTCGGGTTCTTCAGGCGATCGTGCAAACACTAGTGCCTCAGATGGAAACTCTGCCGCTGTTCCATCATGTCCTACATCGACTACCGTCCAAGTCTCACCGATTCCTCCACCAGCTGAAGCCCTTCTTCGCCCNCTCTGATGCGTATGGGACAGCAGGTGTGTGTCAGCTCGTACGCTCGAGACCCTAGCCATCGATGTGTGTTGTATCCAAGAGACTCGCATTCAAGAATCCAGCTCCATTATCCTACTGATGTCCCCATTTAACCAATCTGTGAAGTTTCACTTACGCCTCTCTGGGGACCCTGAGGTTGCGGCTTCCGATCTTGCTGGCGTTGGTGTGGCTCTCGGTGAGAGCGCTGAAGCTGCGCTGCTAGACTGGTTCCTAGTCGACAGTATATTGTGCGCAGTGAGACTTAGAGGTTCGTGCTAAGTAAGCAGCCGTTGCCCCGACAGACGAAACCTGTTTGTCTGCCGATCGTACTGGAGCACCCCCTCGAATCCGACCGCGCGTTAGTTTGAAACGGAACGTGCTGCCGCCATGGGAAATTCCCGTAAGCTGTTTCATCTCATCCGGGTCACCGGTAGGAAATCTTTAGGTGTGAGCGAAACAAT